GACGTCCAAATTTAAATGGATATCGGGACATTAGCAACAAGAACTGACTTGAGACAGAACTTCATCAGAGTATCAGTGCTTTCACATCTACAGTAACACATTTCCCCACTTTGACTATGATGCAATATAAGTGCAAAGACTGCATCTACAAAGAGGTGAAGTTCATCAACGTACAAACACACAGAGAGGAGAAAATGACTAATGTGAGTCATCTCTGTCTTTCACTATAGTTTCTTTCACAGTCTTCCTTTTCTCTCGTCTTTTTCTCTTCCTCTCCTCCGGTCTTTACTTCAGCATAGCCCTGAGATCTCCATGGAAACAAGGTTTAGTTCAGTCAGCAGAGATGAAGAGACAAAGTGAAGAGAAAGAGACAGACGTGGGATGAGTCGAGAAAACCTTGGCAAAAGCTTAGAGCGGGTTATTTTCTAATGTTTGTGGACATCAGATACAGATTCATCCAGCAGCTGGACCTCACTCATCCTGGAGTTAAGACATATATTAGGAAAATGTTTACCTTTAGACACACCTTTCACCATGAAAGTCTCTGCAAGAGACAAAATATTGTCAAAAAATTATCATTATTGTTTTAATTGTTTAGCACAAGTGGTGAATGACGAATCAACACACAAATAATCTGCTTTAATCCATTATATAGTGGCCTTTACTGTCATTTATGCTGCTGTTTTTTTTCTTTCTGGAATGTATTAAGAGTGCCAGAAGAAGAATGACAAGAGGGAAATGGTGACACGAAAAAGGTCCTTGTCTAGATATGAACCTTATAAGTCAAACACACACACACACACACACACACACACTAATACCAGCACAATTTAGCAAACTATAAACTGACTATGAGGCAATTTGATAAAAACATGTCCTGACTCACAAAGAAAAAACAAGAGAGTTAATTCATCAAATAAATCTAAAAAGAAATTGAAACTTTACTTGGTCTTTGTTTCTTTGACATTATAGTATAGTAGGAAATGTGGCAGGACAGCAATGAAAGTTAAGGCGGCGAAAATCCGAGTAGTGCAGGTGGTGGGTGGGTCCAACAACAACCCACTTTCACCCAGGAGGCCGGTGTTCACCATCTGTAGGATTGTAAAGCCAAACCCTGTTCTTTTTTCCTAAACCCAACGTTAAATCAGTCTTACTATATGGGGCAGAAACATGGAGAACTACAAAAGCATCATCAAACAAGCTCATTAACAGATGCTTATGACACATCCTGGGAATTTACTGGCCTAACACCATCGCAAACGAAGAGCTCTGGCAAACCACACAACAAGAACAAATTGAAACCCAAGTCAAACGCAGGAAATGGGGCTGGATCAGGCACACCTTGAGAAAACCATCCTCCAACACGGCCAGACAGGCCTTAACCTGGAAACCACAAGGGAAAAGAAAGCCAGGAAGACCAAGAAACAGCTGGAAAAGGTCTGTCGAGGCGGAACTCAAGGAAACAAGAACATCCTGGAAGGAAGCAGAGAAGATGGCCCAACACCGAACTAGCTGGAGGAAGTTCATGAATGACCGATGCTCTCCAAAGAGCAAAAGGGTTTAAGTCAAGTAAGTCAACCACGTATGTGTGTGTTGGCTGAAGTTGGCACAACCAACACACCCAGGGTACCTTGCATGTTGTATCTGGACGTAGAAAGTCCATGACCAAACACTGAGAATCTGTTGGCACTGTATGTTTCTGCAAACCATGGATTTGTTACAACAATGCTGTGGTTAAAGGGCCAGTGTGTAATATTTGGCATGGTTTATTGTCAATCTGAATCTGAATCTGAATATTCTACCCATTAATATGTTTATACAAGTGTATAATCGCTATAAAATAAAATTCGTTTGGTTTTCGTAGCCTTATAATTATGCTTATATATATATATATATATATATATATAGCAAGGGCCTTGCTTTAGAGAGGTCGCCATCTTGCGCCGCCATGTATGTACGGCAGACCGAGCGGACAATCCAGCCAGCCAGAGAACGCGTTTCACGTGTATAAATGAACCAACGCAGACAGTGGGAGGAAGGAAGAAGGAGGAGGAAACAGCAGAGAGTGTTAGTAGTTCGTCGATAGAGAGTAGTGAAAAGTTTTTTTAGTTATAAAGTTTGCGAATGGACCACACTTACCACGCAACAGGAGAGAATGAACCCGAACCGTCATCTGCGAGGAAAAGAAGACGCAGCTTCACTCCTTGTGATGCACTCTCTGCGGCGCTTTTCCTCCTGATGATATATCTCCCCAAAGATGGTAGCAGTAGCACCGAATCCCATTCTGTGCATTCAGCCTCTCTTCTCACCCACTCAGCATCAAACACATGGAGTTCCTCATCTGTGTGCTCCGGCTCAAACAGGTATGGCTCTGGATCTGTGTCCGCTACAAGAAACTCTTCAAAATCGAGTTCAAAGTCGTCCATTGCAGCTACTATAGTCCGGAGATATCGCTAGGCTAAATAAACAGCTGAGCTCTGTTACCGGCTACGCTGTCAGTCAGTGTGCGGGCTGGAGATTGGTGGAGCAGAGAGGGGAGGGGGGTGCCCACTCAGTATGGTAAACGAGTATGTGTGTATGGAGTGTGTCTGTTACGCCAGAAGAGTCAGAGTTTTGGACGGAGTCTTTTACCCCCTGGAGTGTTACCGGAGTTTCTGGAGTGCTCAAATAAACTGGCCTTTTCCCCAAACGCTACTCTGGTCTCCTGCTCGTGAGGGATTCATTACATCGTAACATGGTTTAGATTTCTAAATAAATATTCACCTCGTCGCTAGATAGACCTACTCCTGAAAAACTTGTGTCTGCGCAAGGCTTTTTGTCCCTACGAGGCCACCGTCATTTACCCGACGGGAGGGGTGAACAAGTGAACCCTGCAATCTAGAATTTGACCACTGATGTCACTGTTTTCAAAGGTTTTCAACCCATTTTACACACTGGCCCTTTAAGTTTAGGCACAAAAACCTCTTGGTTATGGTGAGAAAAAGATCATGTTTTGATTGAATTTGATTGATTTTAAAATAGCTTGTTTGGGGGCACTACAAGTCAGAAAACACAACAATGTCTTGGTAAACTAGACGTACCACCTTGCGGTTGTATCCCTCAGAAAACCAGTCAAGTTTCTCTGACAGTTTCTATCCATGTCTGTGAAAATATGGATGCTGGTCACACTTATTCCCCCGTCAGCACAGAAGATCTGTACAATCAGCAAAGTTTCAAGGTGGATATCAAATATTAGTATCAGACCAAATGTCTCCCCTTCTGTTCCCAGGTGGCACACCATCCATTGTCTCCTCCACCTCCCAATGACCGAGTCAACACATGTTCTACATCACTTCAGAGACGTTGATATGATGCGTATAAAACGTAAAAGTGTAACATATCCATGGTTTGCAAAAAAGTACAATGCCATCATTTTCCTCTGGCAACTGGGCTGTTTGAAATGAAATGAAAGCATCAGCGGCAAATATATTCTGACTTTCATTCCTAAATATGTATTGAGCCAATCTCCCAAACTGTAACCACCCTTCTGTCAGACCTCACTGGTCAGGTTGTGTCTTTCAAACTCCAAACATGCAGTTTGTAAGTCAGGCGTTCTGTTGAACATGTGATGTGAGATATCTCCTGGTTTATTTCCTCAGACTTGACAAAGCTCCAGAGCCACAGAGGACACTGTACAACTGTTCTCCCAGGCTGAGTAATACTCACTCCTGATGAGTAAACTGACCTTTATGTGTACAGTAGCAGCAGATAAACCCAACACTCAGGTAGTGAGCACACACACACTGTTTATCTGCTGGTGTCACACACTGCTGAAATGTCACTGTCTACAGTGACACATGCATCAAGATGTCTCAAATATCAGATGGTTTAGATACAGACTGGACTTTCTTAATGAGCAGCTGTGACACACTCAGGAGCCAAAAAGTAAAGTAATCTAAGTATTTTAGTGACATGAACTGTTTTTGTTGTTTGCTGCTCTCTAATAGTTGTCTGCATTTCCCCTAGGTGGTTCGGTTTTATTTGAATGTGTGCAAATGAGAAGAGCGGTGTTCTGTTGTTTGACCTGAACACAGGAATCGTGTCTCAATCAGATATCAGTGTGGACAGTGGAGAGGGGCAGATGAAATCATATCTGAATACAATCTGGATATGAGACACATTTTAATGTAGGCATGCAGGAGGTCAGACACAAAGAAGAGACAATAAAGAGAATAAGTATCACAGCTCTGCTTCTGTTTGCTCCTCCAAAACTCAACGTGTCACTCAAACAGAGGCTGACTGCTCGTACAGGTATAACTCTGAAGACTGAAGAATGAATGGACATGTGCAGTATCTGTTCTATAACTGTCAACATTTATTGACTGAACATTCTGTTTCCTCCCTTCTGACACAATGCTGACACTTATTTCTCGGCCTTTATCTAAACCAGATGTTTGATGGTTGTCACTGTCTTTATAATACCAGTTCTGCCAGCGCTTCCTGTCCCTCAGGGACGTCATCAAGGCAACAACAGTTGCAGTCGCAGACTGTTTTGTGTGGGTTAAACCTCAAAGAAGAAGGCTGTTTTGTGTCAGACGCATTTCAGTTTATTTCAAAAGAAGGCCATTCAGACCAGAGGCTTGTGATATGAAGAATAATCCCTGTCACTGTGTCTGCCTGGCCTGGCTAACAGACAAACAACCAAGATAACTTTAGCATCAGAGTTAGCTAAGTTTATAACCTATATGCCAGTTCATGAACCCGGTAGACCCAGACGCTACAGATGCTTCTCACTTATGGTTACGTCAAACACAGCTGTTATCTCATTGGTTGCACTTTGAAAGGTAAGTGGCAAACACGGTCAAAGTTGAAATAATTTAAACTTTGAGGGCAGCCCTCTGTGGTGATTTTAAAGGTAACACTTCCGCCTAGTTGGGCACCAATGCTCTCCCCGGTTTTACCACCAATCATGTCAACAACATAAACCACAACAGTGCCCTCATGTATCTGCTCTGACTCACCTTGCATGCAGAATTTCAGCTCTTTAGCGTCTGTGACGGTGCTGGCTGGCATCCTGTCAGGAACCTTCTTGCTCATGCGGTTGTAGTTCCTCCTCTTCTTTGTCTCACCCCACAGGTTGGAGCCGCCGTGCATGCTGGGGATGTTGAGCACAGCAATGCCCTCTAAGGAGGTGTTGCTGAGGTCCAAGATGATCCCGTCGCACTACGGAGAGACAGAAAGATAGAAAGAAGATTGACAGAATGATTATGATGAGATATTTAGAACAGCTAAAAAGTTACAAAAGCATCATACAAATAATTTGGTCCCTGTATGTGCACTGAAGACAGGCACAGGCTCTGTCTCGTCAAGGTTGACCTTTGAGTGCTGCCTTGACAATCACTCCAAGATGTCAGCCATGCAGGCGGCACTGCATGCCTCTACCTGAGTGTCAGATGGAGAAATTACAAGAATAGCTGGGTGTCATCCGCCTAACAGGGACTGGAAGCGATGTGAGTGTATGGCAGCACTGAGCGTCCTCATGTAAAGGGAGAAGGAAATAGGGCCCAGAACTGGGCCTTGTGGAACTCCTGTTGTGAGACAGATCCTTTCCATGTCACCTGGAAGGAACGAGCCATGAAGAGTCAGAGAAGGGTCTGTTGGGTCACTGTGTTTAATGCAGCAGACATGTCCAGTAGTCTGAGGACAGAGGGGGGGAGAATTCGCTGCTCTGAGACCAAAGATGTGTTGATAAGGTGGGTTAAGAAGATCAGGGGGTCAGAGGTGACAGACTAGAGAGGAGTGGAGGGGAAAGGGTCAAGAGAGCAGGTGATGAGGGGGCTGGAAGATACAAGGTCAAGAACCTTGCTGTGGGTGAGGAGGAAAAGAAACAGTCTTAATTTAAACTATGACAAACATTTTTCTTCACCAACCTTTTTTCCATGATGAAAATGAGACAACAATAAGCTAAAAATAAATCTTTGAGAGTGCAAACTAAGATGAAATCTATGTTTCATTTTTGTTGACGAGATGTGACGAAAAAGTTAGTGGTGGACTATCAGCCATCGAAAGACTGAGAGGCTGGTAAACTCCAGTAAATAGTCAGCCATTGGTTGGAGTGGTGAGCTGTAATGGAGGAGGCTGGGGGGTGGAGGAAAGAATTTCAAATATTGTTAATTTTCCTTTAGTAAAAGTAGCAAACAAGATGAGTGAGGAGGAGGAGGAGGAGGAGGAGGCGGGCTGGAGAAGAAGATCTTAAAGAGTTTTCTGGGATTTTAAACAGAAATGTGGAACTAACTTGTAATAACATGCAACGTGACCTTATGCTACAGCCCGTTTCATATGATCCACCATGTGCTGCTTCCATCTGTGCAGAAATGTACTGTTGGCAAATGTATTCTGGTAGAAAGAAGTTCCTTAAATCTGTTGATCTGCTCAATGTATTTCAGTGTTAAATGCCATGAGCTCAGCTGTGCAGGCAGACTTTTCTTTATGAGACATCTGCAGACCTTGGCGGGTCACACAGTAACGATCAACACTTAGAACTAAAGAGTTTTTGGAAGAAGCAATTTGTGAAGTGTGCTTGAGGTTGAACTGAATCCAACAATTTTTATGTTCTGTTGAGATGAAACAGCAGCACCAGTTTGAGCTGACTGGCTCAGTAATTACCCAGTGATTTCAGTGGGATTTGTTTGCAGGCCTTTTTAGGATCCACTGATCATCTTAGCTTTAATATATGTGTCCACCTTACTTGTTTGATCTCTGCTGCCACCAAAATTGATGCCACTTTGCAGCTTAGCTCCACTACGCCACCGCTAGTGTCCAATCAGAGACCCCGGGGTCCATGATGAAAGCCTCTCATCAAATGAGTGATATAACCACAAAGTACTAATAATGATATCATTTTTAACCAGGGTGTCTCTGATTGGCTGCTTTTTATTCAACCTGTGCTGCCCTGCCCGTTGTTAATCTCCCTGATGTTTTCATTCCTCTGGTCAGTGCTAGCTGTGCTACTTGGTGCTACTCAGCGATCGGACGGTTTTACAGAACCACATCTTTCTGCATTCAGTGACTGGGAGGACGGAAGGAAAAATTTGACCTGAAATCATATACAAGGACCTTAATTACTTTGTGGTGTCTCTTTGTGTAAGTGGCTCCAAAACATTATAACTTTTTAAGTTTAAAAAAAGCTTTTGGCAAGTAGCAAGGGTTTAGCTAGAGGAAAAACAATTCTCCACAGACATTAGCTAGTGCTAGCTAGCAAGATCTGTTGGCTCGTTTGCGACAATGGAAGAAGATGATATGTGTGGTGCGTTCGGACTACTCATTCCCAGTACCGGAGCTCATTCTTAGTGTAGAGCGTCAGACTGAATTTACCAACGCACCATGTCAGGTCACTCACTCTCCGGGACCGCCAGTGTTACTTGAATACGGGACTACCAACGTGACCAGACTGGCCGACCCGTATGCTCTCACTCAGTGGATGGATGATGTCACAGGAAGCCAATCTTACAAAGGAGGACTCACTTGTTTGTTTTGTTATGGAAGCTAACGTTAGCTAATGTGCTAAAAAGTTAGCGTTTCAGAGAAATCCAATATTCCTCTTAAAGGGAGGATAAAAGGATAAAGGGAAATAAACCTGTCTCCTATCGTCCTAAATTTGTTTCAAGTGACTAGTGACATAAAAATAATAGTTAGCATGTTAGCCGTTAGCCTAGATACAGCCGGGGCACATAGTAGCGTCAGACCTGTTAAAACGTAAGTGAAAGGGCAACCTTCAAGTGCAAAGTTAGTCCACTAAACAAGCTTTTTTTCCACAAAGACCGCCTCATATCGTTAGGATAAATGTCAGAGAACATATAGAAAACAACATGTAAACGTGTTGTCTTACCTTACCGGTGTGCTGCCATGTTTGTTTACCATTTAGCTCTGCTTTCCAAAGCGCGGCCGAAATCTCGCGAGAACAAGTAGCAACAGCTGGAAGGCAGAACCGGACAGTAGCCTGAAAAGTTCATTCATTTATTTTATGAAAGATTTATAGAATAATGGCTGACTTTTTGCCAGACTTTGACTTTGTGGAGGAGGAATTTGATTTTGCAGAGTTTGATAGCCGCTCTTATTTATTTGAGCCAGAATACACTGACGAATAGCTTCGTGAAATTGAAGAACGGAGGAGGAGAGAGAGAGAGGCGCAACAGGTAGAGGACGAGAGAGGAGGAATGGCTGCTGTTAGGCTGCGTAGCTCTGGAGATTGGTGATGTACCTGTGAATGCTGTGCCCCAGTGCCCACAGAAGAGGAATGCCTCTGTTGCAAGGAATGGGACCGGTTGCAGCCTTATTTTCAAGGTCTGGATGTGACCGAGGACGAGACACCTCCACCTGGAGTAGTATCCAGCTGGGCTTTATCTAGAGCTCGCCATATTTCGGCCGTGCTTTGGAAAGCAGAGCTAGATGGTAAACAAACATGGCAGCACACCGGTAAGGTAAGACAACACGTTTACATGTCGTTTTCTATATGTTCTCTGACATTTATCCTAACGATATGAGGCGGTCTTTGTGGAAAAAAAGCTTGTTTAGTGGACTAACTTTGCACTTGAAGGTTGCCCGTTCACTTACGTTTTAACAGGTCTGACGCTACTATGCGCCCCGGCTGTATCTAGGCTAACGGCTAACATGCTAACTATTATTTTTATGTCACTAGTCACTTGAAACAAATTTAGGACGATAGGAGACAGGTTGAAATAAACTGAAATTTCCCTTTAATCCCTCCCCAGTTTCTGATGAGGTGGACATGATAACCCTTAATACACATAACCTTATTCATCCCTACAACAGGAAATACTTTTTCCCTAACCTGATATGAAGTGTGCGCTGCACATGTGAGCATTTTTGATGATGGCCTCCGTCCAGTCCTTTGGTCTTATCACATTTAACCATAGTTGTCTTTGTTTTTGTTGACGGGCAGTGGCGGCTGGTTTTGAGCCATGACTCCTTCCATTCTGGCTCCCAATAACACAACAAGACAAACAAGACCTTTTCTGATTGAACTATCGTACAAATAAATCAGCTTCCAAAATAATGTCTGCAGTACCATTCAATGACCGACCTGCAGCAGTGAGCAGGTCACTACAGTGCACGTCAATGATTTATTTGTACCCTGATTTCTCTGAGTTACGTAGCTTGTGTGTGCATTCAGATGCACTGAGGAAGATGAAGCTAGTACTAACAACAAGGCTAACAGATATCACAGTCATCACGGCTGCAGTGTATTGTTGTATCATGGAGTCAGACAGATATCTAAGCTTCTACCCTCTTCATGCACGAGTGATTTGTTCAAGACTGCGAGATTTATTTTGTCCTGATGCATTACCTGGGCAGGAGCCAAGTGTGTAAATGTGTGAAGCAGCAAAAACAGAGCGATAAAATAGATGGCACCATGTCAATACATACTGCATGATATTATATAACAGATATTAAGTGACCCCGTTTGACACTCTTGGCCTAACGTTGAATTATATTATGCCTCGTAGCCTCATCTGGATTCATCAAATAATTCAACAGAGAATGTCAGAGACACACTGCTGTGACTCAGCGTCCATCCGTGCTGAAGCAAAGCATCCTCAAAAACACTGGACTACCATCACGTAATGTGTGAAAGTGGAAAAATGACACTACCAGTACCACACCAGCTGGGCACTACAGCTCTTCAGAGTGTATACAGAGGTGTTCACCCTGCAGTGGTCTGAATCCTGAACCAGTGATTCAATCATAGAGACCGTTAAAAAAAGTAATTCATTCAGGGCCTCTCTCATACATTTGTTCTGCTTTCACATATATTCACTAACATTGATTTGCACTTTGCCTGTGAAACGACTCTTGTGTACTCTCAAGGACAGGGACGAGATGCTCACCTCCTGATGTAATAGTATCACAATACTTGGATGCTGATTCCAAATGTATTGTGTTTCTACAAGTGTTGTGATTTGTTTACTTTTTCAACACCAGACCAGTGGTTCCCAACTGGTGGGTCATGGTCCAAAAGTGGGTCTTGGGTTCATGTGTCAAGTTTGTAAAAAACACACAACGCTATTATTTTGAAGTGCCATTTCCTGCTGTAGAGTGAGTGATTAATGGACAACTACTTGACAGCGACAGCAAACTGGCTCGACAACATGGCTGAACACAAGTGACGCTGAATGTATTAAACTGTGTGGACCTTGAACTAATGACTAAGGAGAAATCTGGACCCTGTGGCTGCACCAGTTTGGAACCACTGCTCTCGACCATGGGGAAAAGTTGAACCATACACTTCTAGAGACTGTGCATCATGAGGCATATTTCCTAAAAGCAACGTACATGACACGTCAGTCTCTCTGACTTTTATATCAACAGCATTATATACTGCAGTGATACTCAACTTATGGCCACAACTGGCCCCCAGTACCATGCCAGGTGGCTCCCAAACCACATGAGAATTTGTGCTTTTAATTGTTGATGGGTCCAATAACCACCGACTTTCACCGTGGAGACAGGTGTTCACTTCCTGTCAGATTGTAAAGCCAAACTTTGTTCTTTTTTCCTAAACCCAACCACGTGTGTGTTGTTGAAGGAAAAAAATATCAGTTGGTGGTGTTGTAGTGACGTAGTGCTTTTATTTTGAAAGAGACTGTATGCAAACTGTACATTTCCTGTGAAAACAGAAGTGTATTTTGAAAACAGACAATGCATGTAACAGGCTGAAGTTGACATGGCGTGCCAGAACATCAACAACCAACACACCCAGGGTACCTTGGACATCATATGTGGACGTGGAAAGTCCATGACCAAACGTGGACATGTGACGAGGTCATAGTGAGAGCCTATTGGGTTCTTACAACCCATATTTCCATTATTGTTGGGCGGAAACCTGTAGTGTCTGCAGTAATTGTGACGAGAGTAAAGGAGGAACTCAGGTGACGTTGTATAAAGAGGTGAAATAGTCCATGTAGAAAGGTGGCCACCTATTGGTGGAGGAGTCAGCAACATAGTTTGTATAAAATAATGGACATAGCCTCTGTGATGTCACATGATGGTTTGTGGACTCCTGTTTTGAAGCCTTGAGTTTGGCATTTTGGTTGTCGCCATCAGCCGGAAGTGACCATATTTGGATGAGAGGGTAGAGATAACCCTAACGCTAGCTGCTAGCTTGGTTAGCATGATGCATTTACTGCTATGGTGGGAAAACCGAACATCTTACTCCTTCAAGGGTCTTTTAGTACAACCAAACGCTGAACAAGACTTTATTAGGTGACGAAAACGTTATGCTGTAAGGGTTCACACCCACTCAGGATTTTAAGGCCCTGTTTAGACGACAAAAGGTTCTCTAAAAATGGAAAAGTCTGTCCTTTGCGTTTTAAAAAACTTCTGCGTTTATATGACAACATTATTGAAACAATCCCCGTTCACATGGAGCCGCAAAATCTATTGGAAACGCTGTAGTATGCACGCCAGGCCAATGGGTGGCAGTGTAAATTTGCAAAGCAACACCACGGCATGACGCCATGCGCCTGTGCTGAAGCGCCTTCTTCTACAACGCTGTGATTACAAACCAAAACAAAGAAGACACAATGGTGAAAGCATGCACAGATAACTTTGTCTGGATGGACAACGAGGTGGAGTTGCTACAGTAACAGATCTACACTTCACTTCAAATCAACAGGGTGAGCAGCACAAACAGAGCTCGGCATTGTTGTTGTGACGGTCGGCATGCCTAGTGACTGGGACCATAATGCGCATGTGCGAAAAGTCTCCGTTTTCAGAGGAACTGCATATTGCAAGTTTACATGACAATGGAGACGCTGCCGTTTCCAAAAAGTTGCACTCTGGAACCCATTTTCGAATCGTTGCATTTTCAGGCACCCAAAACGCCGCTGTCGTGTAAACGATCGGCCAAAACGCAACTAAAGTTTACCGTTTTCAGTTGAAATCGTTGTCGTATAAACGGGGCCTAAACCTGCGACTCCCCACCAGTCAGTCAGAACTAGATGAGAGGTGAAATGTCTTCAAGAAACTCAAGTCCAAAGGGTCATGCCGGGGTTACGTTACCTAACCAACACTTTCGCCATGGTAACTTGTCAGTGGATGGCATGTCTCCTCCTACCCTGTCTTTAGCACTCAGCCACACAACCATCGGGTTCTTACAAAGACATAAAGCTTTAAAAAAAATGACAATAGTTTCCTTTAACAGCTGTAGATTATGGCGAACGTTTCTCAAACAGGAGGAAATGGTGCATTTGTTAGGGACTATTTTCAGCTGCGGATTAATACACAAATGATTCTCTAGTAAGTGTATGTATGAGTGTATGAGGCTTAAGATAAACTACAGTGTGTTCACAGTAATGAAAGAACATGGCGCCCAGTCAGCAGTGTGGCTCACTGATGTGTTTTTTAATACTTTTTGGACAATAATTTACTTCTGTGACACAGAGGAAGAAGATATGTCACTCAGAAAAAAACACTAATATGACTGATACGTTGTAGACTATCACCAGAATTACTGTTTAATCTAAGTTTGTGTATTCAATTCATTCATTGGTTTTTCTGATGTTTGTCATCGTATGATGATGTCGTATGTCCTATTTTAAACATATGAAAACTATTCATAATTTCACCTCAGCTCATTTTACTTCCTCTTAAGCCTTGTGCATTTATCCAGCACTTACACAGAGCCGAGCAGTAACCACTGATAACCTGGTGGTTTATTTCATGCAAGGTACGTGGGCAGACACACGCTGAGTGATCTCACCTCTGCTCCGGTGTTCACACAGATATTTGTCAGTCTGATTAAAACTCAAGGACTTCAAAGCAAAGTCTTTTTATCTTTTCACAGTTTTGGTATGAAACTGATACCAAAAATATAAAACATTTAAATTTTTGTATTTTATTACATCTGTCATCTTCTTAGAAACTGCCAGGCTATGATTCTTCTCTGGGGCGGCCTGTATGTTAAAGCTTTTGCCTTAATTCTTCCTGAGTCTGTCTGAGCAGATGATAGCTCTGTTATATGAACACACATTGGAGGATGCTGATGTGGTCACCGCTCAGAGGCGCGGACTTCCACGAAAGGTGACATCATGTCTAATAAGAAACTGGGGAACAACTGAGGCAGATATGATGTCATCAAGGTCGAGGAAGTGAAATGAGCTGTCTGTTTTCAAAATACACTTCTGTTTTCACAGGAGATGTATGGTTTGCATACAGTCTCTTTCAAAATAAAAGCACTACATCAGTACAACTCCACAAATTGAGATTTGTTTCATTCAACAACAAAAACACGTGGTTACGTTTAGTCAACACACACACACACACACACACACACACACACACACACGTGGTTACGTTTAGGAAAAAAGAACAGGGTTTGGCTTTATAGTCTTACACGAAGTGAACACCGACCTCCTGGGTGAAAGTTGGTGGTTGTTGGACCCATCCACCACTCCACCTGGCCGACGTACTCAGACTTCCGCTGCTTCAACTTTTGTTGTTTTCCTATCACGTTTCCCCCTAATGCCACTGGGCGCCACTGAACAATAACGGCGAATGGCTACATATCATGCTGACATGAAATGACGTCCTATTCACTGGTGTCACTTCAGAGTGAGACCAGGTTGAATAACCTGCAAACAATCTGAGGTTATATTTTTCAAAAACTATATGAGATATGTCCACACAGTTAATCAATAAACAAAACTCCTGATGTCTTTAATATGTTTGTCTGACAACAAATAAAAGCACATTTCTAAAGATGGTCTAATTTTCATAAATATAAACATATACATAAATATATGTAATGGGCTCAATTATACAGCAGTAACATGTGTAACAAAGGCAATTGTACATTTGAAAAATTAAGTATTATAATTACACAAAATTTGTTTCAGCTGTTATTGCCTGACACTCTCAGGCCTCCAGAATCAATATGCTGTAGTTCGATACCCAGTGTCTGTACCCCTACGTACCCCACCTATACACCTTTGCTGCTGTACTCTGTGGGAGAGTGACAATGCTCTTGTAGTAATGCTAGTGTTTTAGTGCTGTTAACCTGTTTATAAGTTCATCTTAAAGTCATTGTATAAAATGCAAACACATTCCTGTGTCACTTAATGTGTGTAGAGACTCGAGTTTATATGGCTGTAATTGACTGAGGATGTTTTTACCTCTTGCTGTCAGAGCTGTCAGGAATAAACAGAGATCGCCTCCAAAGATATCCACGGCCTGGGCCTCTTCATATCAACACAATGGCTCCATTGGTTACATATATATGTACATATAATTAAACACATGGAGAGTGTTTGGCATGATGAGCCCTTTGAGATGGAACTCAGCTTGTTTGCATTTCCCCCCGATGGTTTCTAAAAGGTGTGTTTCTGGTGTGTTTTCTTGGAGTCTTGCTGCGCTGTGAGCACCCAGGTGACACATTATGCATCACTGTATGACTGAATGAGGCAATCAGGGACTTTATGGAGCATTAATCTGATGGCGTGCTATGAATAGCCCGCCTCATTAATATGGGAAAAGTACTTTGTTGTACATCTCTGCAACACATAAAAGAATAACAGCATCTAAAATCTGTCAGCGAAAAGGCAGAGAAGCAGACTTGTTGACATGTACACAAGATCTTTTGTTTTTCTTTCTGTTGTGTCGTATCTGGTGCATTCTCAGGTATTTAAAGATATTCTTCCTCATATCTGTCAGTTACACACTTTTTGTCACCACTCATCCATTATGCTTCAGTGACAACAGTTTTGAAGTGACTCACCTCGACTTCGATGCATTCGTTAAGTTTCTTGCAGGTGGCAGAGATGGTCTCAGTGGTGCCAAACTCAAAGTACCAGAGCTTGTTCTTCATCCTGAGGAGCGAGAGGGGAAACAGAGGACAGACATGTTTTTGACTAACACGTTCCAACAGAAAATATTCCCAGACCTAACTTGCACTCGAGTACAGTGTTGTGAGCCTACAGCGTGATTTGTTTCGGGTGCACTGGACACATATTGAAGCTGTCCGGTGCCTTGAGTCATGTCACATTTTGAATCTGACAGCTCAGGACAGCTAGCGGTCATGTGACCAGAGAGGTCAAAGCTCCATTGATGCACCCTGAAGCCTTAAAGTGGAGACAGAACGTTAACCCCACCATCTGTCAAACAGGCATCTCCACTGCTCATGGAAACGATCCACACACACACTGCAGCGCCCGTATGCCAAGAGATGAAACATCAACATTGCCTCTGGAGGGGACACAGGGTGAAACATGGCTGGTGGAGACTGTGCGATCAGGGTAAATATTATTGTGACTCACAACACTCAAAGCAACCCACAGGACTGATGGAGCAACGGTTCATTTCTGCCCTGCAGAGGGTTTGTCAGAGGTGACCTGATGGATGCAGCTCTGTTTGTATCCTGGTGTCATTTGTTGCAGTTTTGGGACTGGACAGCAGCTCCACAGCAAAGTTCACTGTCAAGGTGAAAACTCTGCTCAACCACGGAGCTCTCAACGGTCAGGAACAGAATCAAACCCACTAACTGAGGACTGCGTGTAACTGTTGGAGTCACAGTCAGTGTTGAACTCTTTTGTATCTAAAGTTCTTGATGTTAACCTTTCTGTGGGCGAACACAGAGGCACCATATGGACTCAAAGTTCTTTAAAGACAGCACTCCCATCATCTTCCCACCGCTGACTGAATTTGAGGTTCAAAGACCCCAAACCTGTGTAACCTGTCTGCACACTGTGTGATAACAAGAGTCTGCAGTCATGGTAGCATCTCTGTGAGGCTGCATTCAGGTACAGCGGGGCTCATAACCTCTGTCTCTGTTTAACAATGGTCCTCACCGTCTGAAATCCTTTCTTATCTCAGTTTGGGTTGACATTTTTGGTATTACAAAAACATGTTTCCAAACTGCAGTTAATAAAAAATCCCATCTTATCTTAAGATAGAAATTTTGCTATAACAAAACCACTTTAATTAAGGGATTTCCCAAGTTAAGAATCCTAAATTAGGATGTCCTCAATTCAGAAAAACTGAAAAAAAAAATGTGTCTGAATGGCAAAGAAGATAAAGATGGGGAACAACATGAACACTGACGGCACAGTGGTGCAGTGGTGAGCCTCACAGTAAGAGGGTCCTGGTTCCTTCTGTGTTGAGTTTGCATGTTCTCCCCGTGTCAGCGTGGGTTTCCTCCAGGTGCTCCAGCTTCCTCCCACAGTCCAAAGACATGCAGGTTAATTGGTGACTCTAAATTGTCCGTAGGTGTGAATGTGAGTGTGAATGGTTGTCTGTCTCTATGTGTCAGTCCTGTGATAGTCTGGTGACCTGTCCAGGGTGAACCCTGCCTCTCACCCAGTGTCAGCTGGGATATCAGCCACTATTGGCCGATACCGATGACGTGCTGATATTATCGTTATCACTGGACACATCAAATATTGTATGTCTTAAGGTCCAGACACACCAAACCGACATCAAAGAACTAGCGGTGATGAAAGCCAACTGTTGCATCGTCTTCGTCGCCTCACGTCGCCCTGTGTCAGTTGCATTTGAACACACTACACGGACTACATCCGACGGCCAAGTAGCACGTACGTTCTGCGCCTGCGTGAGAGAGAGCGGAGTGAGAGAGTGGTACATCCTGTCAGCCGAGGGGTTTCCTATCTGTGCAGCCGAGCACCTCAGCACCTCCACGGACTATTACATCCAGACGGTCCCGGTGTTTCCTCCGCAGGCTCCACTTCACTCAGCTGCCCGATAAACCCGCTGCTTCTTCCCACTTTAACCTGAATAACAAACCAGGGCTCGGTGCTCCGGTTGGATCCAAATGGAGAGCCGGGGCTAGCTCAGAGACTAGCGGAGGCTAACTGGCTGTGCTTCCCTCCGCTAGCCGCTCCGCTAGCCGCTCCCAGCTAGCTCCGGTTTGTTATTCAGGTTAAAGTGTGAAGAAGCAGCGGGTCTGTGGGGCAGTTGAGTGAAGTGGAGCCTGAGGAGTAAGCACCGGTTAGCCCCGGTTTCACTACAGGCAGATTCACTCGCTACAGGGGCGAGGAAATAAAACCTGAACAGCCAATCAGAGTGATCTCTCACTGACAAGCTCCGCTGCCAATTCAATTGACAGACTTCCTGTCGGCCAGTCCGTGCCTGAATACAAGAATTCTTATCACAGATTTTTTTATTTACAAATCAAGAATGACCTCAAAGCTTTCCGCTCAAGTCTAGAAAGTGTTTCCCTTCACTTTTTAAAGGCTGAGCTCATCAAGAAAAAACCTTAGAAACAGCATGACTGATGCCTCAGCCTGCATCACTCTGCAGATGACACACACTTCATGACAGTAGGTTCATTGGCACATCGACGGGCTGCTGATACTGACAACACAGCTATTGACACAACAGCTCATTATCATGTGGGCACACCACTGCCAAGGTGATGCACAGCACGACTTCAACAAACTGGTTTTCACTCATTGACACTGAAATAATTCAGCAGATAAAACTCAACATGAACTTAAACTGTACAGCAGACCTCAAACAAAGAGTTTAAATAATTCATCACTGTTTATTTTATTTAACATGTAACACACAGTCTGAAGCTGCTGCTGCGCTCCGTCACATGTTTTTCTCCCTGCTAATTGTCTTTCTGTCCCCTGTTCTCTCTCCCTCACCTTAATACCTCCCCAGAAACCTCTGCCGCTGTCAAATCAGGGGATTATGAGCATATTTGAGATCACAATTAGGAACAGTTGCGATTCTCAATGAGGCGAGCTGCCTAACCTCATTAAGCTGCTTCCACTTGAGACGGTCTGTAAAAAATGCAATTAACTCGTGTTTTTTCCCTCTCGTATGGACACAGAGTGCAGCGGGGAGAAAGACTACTTCCATAAGCCTTTCCTCCATTATTCCCATGTTTATGCACCAAATCTGGTGAAATGCTGGAACAAAAGGACCTTAAATTATCTTAAAAAGACGGCTGATTTTCCAATTATCACCACGTGTTTTTGTCCCGTTTTTAGTCTCCAGCTCAGGTTGAACGGCTGTTTTCCCGAACAAAGCAAAGTACTTATTAATTCTGTTCAACTTAAATGAACACAGTTGGTTTGAAAGCTTCAAAGAGAATTTAAAGACCTGCTGGAATCAAACTTTGTCTGAGAGAGATTGGCTCTAAAGAAAGGTGGAACTATGTTGTTATAAAAACACTGTTCAGCAGCTATCTCTCACCCACTGTTCCCCCCCACCACTCCCCCCCACAGATAGGCATCTCCTCTAATCCCCAGTGTGAGCCGTGACCTCATGACCTCACCACCTCTTTCCTGCCCCTCCTTTCTCACACATCTTGCATTAACTTAATGCAGCTCCTCCAGGGTGCTCCGATGTTCCAATCCCAACAATTATGTGCTCTCTGCAATTTTGTCCAATCGCTGCAACTTTTACCCAAATTTGAACAATCACAGCAGTCCCTCGTTTGACCTCACCAAACTCACTTCCTTGTTTCTGGTTGTAAAGATGCAATCATGCGACATGTTCCCTGATATTCACACCGCACACAACGTAGTGGTGGAACACAAACTAAAGGAATTAATTAAACAAGCACGTTTCCACCGCAAAACACAGTCAGAGAACGACGAAAACACGATGAGAGCACACAAGACAAATCATCACGACAGAGGCTGCTGAATCTATCGCATGTGCTAAAAGAATCAAGGTGAGTTAGATTAAATGTGCAGGTTAGTGGAAATGTTAGTGAAGTATAAATTACAATCTCAGAACAGTGTAGTTTTATTGTCACTGGAACAAGCTGCCTTCAATTTTTTATGAATTATACAAAGAAAAAAAAGCAACTGTTTTTGCATTTTCCTCTTTTTATATACCTTACTGTTTAAATGTTATTAAAGGAATACTTCAACCACAAAATGACCCTTTGTAAATCAGTTGGTCATGGACTTTCCACGTCCACATATGACGTCCAAGGTACCCTGGGTGTGTGTTGGAACCAATAGTGACCATATTTGGACGAGAGGGTGGAGCTAACACTGAGCTAGCTGCTAGTGTTGTTAGCACGGTGCATTACGGTTTATGTTTAACTGTGATAATAAAGAGAGGGAGGCAGAAGAAATACCTGCACACCAAGTCGACTGATCTTGAGTGCTCAAAGTGCAAAAAATATCGATATAGAAAGCAGCAAACGTTTTTAGTCCTTGGCTGTCATCAGTGCTGAGGTCACTGACGACAGCCAAGGAACTGCAGTTTTCCTGCACTTGTATGTAGATAGATGTTTGATTCAGCTTGAGATCTTGTCCTGGTGCAGCTGCAGGGAGATTTTATTAAAGATACAAGCCATTTCCTGCATACGGTGAAGATGTTTCTGTGATACTACAAAATCTAAACTTACAGAATGAGAATCAGCTCTGATGACCAACTACATGTGCGCACGTACGTGCAGTGTGACTCAGTCTTTGTTGCTGTGCAATGTACAAACAGAAACAAACATAGTTAAAACAAGGACAGCAAAGCGAACAAAGAGTCTCTGCTCGGGTCTTTCCAGCCAGAGTATTTTCAAAATATGATGTGTCTCAAAGGGAACATGTATCCTCCGTCACTCTGCTTCCTGTCACACGGACAAGGTCATACAAACATTCACAACACACATTTGAGGACTTCTTTTGTCATAAAAGCATGCGTGCATTCAAACAGCAGACTTATGCCATGACGCAGACACATGCTCAAAAACACGACCTTGGTTGAGGATATTTTTCCACTGCTGAGATGTATTTTTATGAAGTGAATCATGACCTCTGACTTTATTTATTTGTACAGTCTATCAGTAAATCAGATTGTTTCAGTAGTCGTGGTAACCGTTTGATTGATGAGA